CCCCCCCCCCCCCGCCGTTCCTACGCCATGTCACCAACGTGCCTTTCCATCCTGTACTCACTCAGTCAAGGCTTGTTGCGAGCCCGCTGTATGGCAGGCACTGTGCTTGGCGCTGGGGACACACATGATGGTAAAGAAAGCAGACACGCTCCTGTCGCCACGGAGTTTACTGTCTCGGTGTCACATCCAGGCCATCTTCCCCACTAGGGTTCCCTGCTGTTTCCCCCATTTATCTCTGTACCTTGGCTCCATGCTCCCCTCATGTGAAATGCCCACCCCTCCTCTTGGTATGAGTCCTCCCACCCGCCCGGCCCAACTCACTGGCTGCAGCCTCCTTGTGGCCTCCAAGGTGGCCAACCTCTCCCCGCACCCAGGCCCTGCAGTCCTTTACCTCACCTGCACATTCCCCTGTGAGGCCAGGCCTTGTTTCTCCATGTTCACTTCCTGCGAACTCCCCCAAGGGCAACGGTGGCATCTGGCCTCTGCCCGCCCCATAGCCCCTGGCACAGTGCTGGGCACATGGCAGGGGCTCCCTGACACATTTGCTGCTCTGTTCCCCGTCCCCAGCTAGGCAGGCTGCGCCAGCCCAGAGCTAGTCCAGAACCTTCTGCTCCTGTTCTTGTAACCTGTTCCCTAGAAGAGACAGGGGAACTTGGGTTCTTCCAGAGAAAAGTTCTGAGTCTGTGGCGAAACAAGGGAAACTCAAAACCCACTCAGGGAGTTTCTGCAGCAGTGGGTGCCGGGGCGGCCTCACTGTTAATAAAGCTGCTAATCATCATCGTAACCGTTTACTGTTGTCCAACAGAGAAGAGCCCCTGGGGGAGGTGGAGTGTCCACAAGATGGGGGGCAGAAGCCACTAGGCAGAGGGCATGGGGAGCAGAGAGGATGCAGAGACTTCCATCCAGGAGGGGCTGCATCAGCAGACATGCCCCCTCTGCGTCCTCCAGGACACAGGCCCTCCCCGAGCACCTCTGGGCTTTTGTGTTTCCTTTCTGTCTCCAGGCCAGAGTTTCCCCTCCCAGCCAGGGTGGCTGAGGGCACCAGCACCCCTTCCCCAGCTGGGCCTGTTCTCTTCTGACTCAGCAGGAGGGGGGCTGCCGGGCACTCCTCTGTGGGAGGTACAGGTTGCCCCCTCATCTGTAGGAAGCTGGCGCCAAAGATATGCACAGACAGGAAGATGCCACTCCCCTCCCCTCTGCTACACTGCATGTGCAAATGGAAACCTGCCCCGGGGATAGAAGAAATGGCCAGCAGGACAGGCTGAGGGCAGAAAACCCTCCTGGGCTGTGGCTTGAGGAGTGGGTGGGTTTAGGGATCTCTGGCAGGCGATGTGACCTTAAGAGAAGCAGACAAATTGTCCTCCACTAAGGGAGGACCCCATCTTTCTCAGACCTACAGTCTTGGTGGGGCCTCCTGAGTCCCCCTACAGGAAATGAAACTGAGGCCCAGAGAGGGTCTGTGAGCTTCCTGAGGTCACACAGCAAGGACACGACAGAGCATCCCACCCACAGGGTGGTTCTACCATGGACAGGAGGGCTCCCCCAACCAGGAACTGAAGCAGCCCAGCCTGGGGAAGGTGGCCCTGGGGGAGGAGGAAGAGCACGTGGCCTCCTCCTATGATCTAGTCCAGTGTCATGGTTTCCTTTCACAGGTGAGCCGTGAGGGCTGATGAGGTTATAGTCTGAGCACTGTTCCGGGTTTTAACAAACAGTGCCTGATTTTAACCTACCCTAAAAAGCTGAAGTAATCAAAACAGTATGGTACTGCACAAAAACACATAGATCAATAGAACAGAATAGAGAGCCCAGAAATAAGCCCACACTTATATGGGCAATTAATCTGCAACAAAGGAGGTAAGAATACACAATGAGGAAAAGACAGCCTCTTCAATAAATGGTGTTGGGAAAGCTGAACAACTACGTGCAAAAAAAGTCAAACTGGACTCTACTTTCTCACATCCTATACAAAAATAAGCTCAAAATGGATTAAAGACTTAAATGTAAGACTTAAAACCATAAAACTCCTAGAAGAGAACATAGGCTCTGTTCATGCTCTCATGAACTGAGAAATAACCGGTATTGGCATATAACCTGTACTTTTTATCTGTGTGCGTAGATTACATTTTTAATGTACAGTTTTATAAAATATACCACATATACTGTTTAAAAAAATATAAAAGAGAACATAGGTAGTACACTCTTTGATGTTGGTCTCAGTAATATTTTTTTTGGATAGGTCTCCTCAGGCAAGGGCAACAAAATCAAAAATAAACAAATGGAACTACATCCAACTGAAAAGCTTTGGCACAGCAAAGGAAACTATCAACAAAACAAAAAGGCAGTCTACTGAATGGGAGATTATATTTGCAAATGACATATCTGATAAGGGGTTAACACCCAAAATATACAAAGAACTCATACAACTCAACATCAAAAAACGAACAAACAAACAAAAACCAACCTGATTAAAAAATGGGTAGAGGGGGCTTCCCTGGTGGCACAGTGGTTGAGAGTCCGCCTGCCGATGTAGGGGACACGGGTTCGTGCCCCGATCCGGGAAGATCCCACATGCCGCGGAGCGGCTGGGCCCGTGAGCCATGGCCGCTGAGCCTGCGCTTCCGGAGCCTGTGCTCCGCAACGGGAGAGGCCACAGCAGTGAGAGGCCCGCGTACAGCAAAAAAAACCCCAAAAAACAAACAAGCAAACAAACAAAAAATGGGTAGAGGAACTGAATGGACATTTTTCCAAAGGAGACATACAAATGGTCAACCGGCACACGAAAACGATGCTCAGCGTCACTAATCATCAGGGAAATACAAATCAAAACCACATGAGCTATCACCTCACAGCTCAGAATGGTTATAATCAACAAGACAACAAGTAACAAGTATCGGTGAGGGTGTGAAGGAAAGGGAAGCCTTGTGCACTGTTGGTGGGGATGTAAGTTGGTGCAGCTACTGTGGAAAACATTATGGAGGTTCTTCAAATAATTAAAAATAAAACTACCATGGAATCCAACAATTCCACTCCTGGGTATTTATCTAAAGAAAACAAAAACACTAATTTGAAAAGATATATGCACCCCTATGCTTATTGCAGCATTATTCATAACAGCCAAGATATGGAAGCAACCTAAGTGCCCATCAATAGATGAATGGATAAAGAAGATGTGGTATATATATACATATAAAAAAGAATGAAATAAAAAAGAATGAAATCTTGCCATTTGTGACAACATGGATGGACCTAGAAGGTATTATACCAAGTGAAATAAGTCAGATAACGAAAGACAAATACCATATGATTTCACTCACATGTGGAATCCAAAAATCAAATGAACAAACAGAATAAAACAGAAACAGACTCATAGACACAGAGAACAAACAGGTGATTGCTAGAGGGGAGAGGGGCAGGGGGATGAGTGAAATAGGTGAGGGAGATTAAGAGGTACAAACTTCCAGTTTGCAAAATAAATGAGTCACTGGGATGAAATGTACAGCATAGGGAATATAGTCAATAATATTGTAATAACTTTGGTGATTTTGTAATGTATAGAAATATTGAAACGCTATGTTGTACTATTAGAACTAACATAGTGTGATAGGTCAATTATACTTCAATTAGAAACAAAAACAAAACAAAACAACAGCACCTGCTGTTGTTTTCATCACTGGTAATGAAATGGTAATAATGGCTCAGTGATTAACACAGAGCTGACTGTGAGAGGGTCAGATGCACCAGACACCCTGTTGCAGGGGTGGGTGGGTGTCATTCTGAGCTGCCTCTGGTTGCTCAGGGACAGGGTGGAGTCAGGCCTAGACCCCATGTGTCAGAATCAAAGTCCAGGGTGGCCCTGGTGAGATGCAGCCTGTGGAGGTGGGCATGGGACTCTCCTTCTAGCTAAGGGACTCCCATAATCTGGTTCGGGAGGAGCCCTGAGCAGACTGTTGGCCATTTTCTCTGGTGGCCAGGAGACTGACCTGATGCAGGGTTGCTGGGGCCCATGCGGTTCGTGGAAATTCTGCTCAGGGCCTGGCTGGGACTGGACCCTGACCACATGCCCAATGCAGACTTGGCTCTGCTAGGAGCCAGAAGGGAACTTGGCTTCCCAATCTCTACAGATTGGGACTACATGGTGATTCAAACCTGCTGGGCTCTGGCCTTCTGTGGTCCAGGGCCCAGCTTAGGGAAGGACCCACAACCAAGTCTGTCTGGGCCTCAGACCTTTCTCAGAATGAGCCAGAGCTCTCCCTGCAGAGAGATGCCATGTGCCCGTGCAGCCTGCCGACCGCCTGAGGAGGGCTTCCTGGCACCCTGAAGCTCCTCTGGGCCCAGGTTAAGCAGCCCCTCTTGGCCCCTGCCTGGCTGTCCCCCAACCCAGGGCGCCGTGCCTGAAGTAGGCTCGCCAGCCTCAGAGCAGGGGTGCACGCAGCTTAGGATGGAGGCTTTTTGGTTCTGCTAATTGAGGAACCAAGAAATGTCCCCTGTGAAAGGAGAAGTGTGTTATGGCCCCTGGACACACATAACCCAGCTGTGTCCCCAGCTGAGTGTCTATTCTCTGGAAAGCCATAAATATTCCAAGACTGGACTTCTGCCGAATCACCTCAAATGCGTCGAACTCCATGGGTCTAGGGAGGGATGTGGGGGGAGGTGACAGGAGGCGGGGCAAGATACCCAAAGAGGTTAAATAGGTCACCTCCGCACTTGTGCTCATCCTGGTCTCCCGTGAGCAAAGAGACCCACACACAGAGACCTTCTCCTGGGCTCCCAGCACCATGACCTCCCTGAAGATGCTGCTCCTGGCCGCGCTCCTCCTGGGGGCTTCCCTGCAGGACACCCATGCAGGTGAGAGCAGATCAGAGGCAGCAGGAGGAAGGGACACTGGGCAAGGAGGAGTGGAGGCCCTGAGACTACAGCAGCTGGCCACACACATTATTCCTACACCCCACTTATTCCTACAAAGATGCGAGAGGCCGGCAGCAATAGGATTTTTTTTTTTTTTTTTTTTTTTTTTTGTGCCGGGG